CCGCAAGGAGCTGGAGAAGTATGGGATGACCGGCTGGTGGCCGTCCTTTGTCACGGACGCTGGGAGCAACGTCAGGCGGGCTATTAGGGGGGAGCTGGCAGCACATGAGGTTGGGGAGCAACCTAGAGGCGGCATGGCAGATTGGTCACGCTGTGCCTGCCACATGCTCCACAACGTCGTGACCCATGGCCTGACCAACCTACGCGTCCGCGCCACCCATACCGAAGGCTGCCAAAAGCTTTGCAGTGCAATAGACCGGTAAGCTATGATGCTGGTGTGTCTTTGTGTGTGTGTTGCTATGCGTGCATATATGTTGGTGGTTATTTGTGTGTGCTGCAACTGCTGCAGCTGCTGCTTCGGAATTGTTTCATCAGCAGTGTGCATGTGTCCTTACGATGGCAGGGTCTCCACGCTGGTGAACCACATGCGTGCCAGCGCAAAAGCCACAGCTGAGCTGCGAAGGCTGCAAGTGGAAATAATAAGGGAGGGTAATAATGTAGTTTCTAGTGATGAGGAGGGGGTGTCTGCATCAGAGGTGCCCTCCGATGAGTCGGGTGAAGGTGGCAGGAGGCCCAACCTGCGGAGGGTACTCCAGCTGGTGAGGTCTGTGGACACTCGATGGAATAGTACATTTTTTATGCTGCAAAGGGCTGTGCGCCTGAGGAAGGCCATCGACAGATGGTTTGGGCTGCACCCCGAATACGATAATCCCATCGAGATTACACAATGGGGCTACCTGGAGGCCCTCCTCCCAATGTTGGCATCTATCAAGAGGTGCTGTAAGAGGCTGGAGGCGGAGGCATACCCCACGGGCTCCAAGGCTCTCACCAAGTTGATGCACCTCCGGCGTTTCCTTTACAAAATCGGTGACCAGGATAGTAAGGGGCCATATAGTGGGTTGGTGCCATTCTGCAATGACATGCTGTGGAAGCTGGAAGAGGCCCTCAGCGACTCCACGTGGGTCTGGCAAATGGCCTTTTTGGCTTTGATGGACCCCACCGGTGAGCGATCGTTGCTAATCACTCAGCGATGTTGTTGTTGGTGTTGTGTATTGTTTCTCACTGTGGTGTCATTCACATATTCAAATACATATAATAAGGTCAGAAGCAGTGCTGATGAATTGCATGGTGTGTGTGCAGTATACGCCTGGAAGGCTACCCTGGGGTCTAGAGGTGGCCACCCGGATCCGTTAATAGCGGACAGAGGTTAATTCCGCTAATTATTCCGTTAATTAACGGAAAATAACGAAAAAAGACAAAAATTAACGAAAAATTAGCGGATTTTTGGATTTTTTGGGGATTTTTGGGTTTTTTTCATACTTATAGTTTATGAAATTCGCTATTAGAGAGTATGTTTGTATTTTATTTCAACCTATGCATACTAGATTTTCAACTAGCCGTAGTTGTTGTGATTTTTTGGGTTTTTTTCGATTTTTCTGGATTTTTTTCGTTTTTTCTGAATTTTTCTCCCTTTTTCTTTAACGAAATTTAACGGACAGCTGATAAAAATTAACGAACCGGATTTAACGGACCGGATGGCACCCTTGAGTGGCCACCTCTACTGGGGTCCTACATAACCGTACTAAAACCCATCAGGGAGAAGTTCGTGTCGGTGGATGCCGTGATGGAGGACATGTCGGCTGAGCTGCTAGAGTTGTGTCTTAAATTCGCGAAGGACATTGGGTGGTCAGAGGCATCGGGGCAAGCAGGCCTGCCGCCCCATCCTGGATAGCGGCCCGTGCGCAAGCCGAGGGAGAAGTGCATGGGGCATAAGACGTTTGACACTAGCTCTGAGGAGGATTATGATGCAACATGGCAACGGGGCCCAAGGGCAAGCGGTGCCGCGGGGCCTAGCCAACCTGCGGGTGGTGCAGCGGGCGGTACAGCGGGCGGCGAACTGACGGATGCCACACAACGGTTGATTGCACAACACGTTCAAGAGTTCTTAATGGAACGCTGGAGTTTGTGTGAGCCGGGTACCCCATGAAAGGAGGATGCACTAGAATATTGGGCACGGAATAGTGCTCGATGGCCCATAGTGGCGTGGGTGGCCCGGCACTCATTGTGTATGCCGGCCGGAAGTGGTTCGTCAGAATGGGGCTTCTCGGTATCTGGCTATACTGTGCGATCTCGGCGGGCATCTCTGGGGGACGAACGCATTGAGCAGCTGACCTTTTTGTCCGGCAACACCGACTTGTAAATTGCAAGTTGTAATTTTCTGGGTTCTATTGGCTTGTCTCGAATTGGCCCATGGCTCAGTGTGTGACTTGTTTTAATTTTGGCTATATGTCCAGCTTGTACATTGGGTAATGTGCATGTTGCCTTTGCTGCAAGTTAGGTGTCCCTGTGAAAATGTGCCTCTTGGCCCTGAATCCGGCCCTATGAATGCCTCTGCAACTTGCACTGGTCCGCCAGTGCCCCCCCCAACCTCCAATTCGCATAGTCCGTTCCTGGGGAACGGACAGGAACGGACCTGAACGGACAAGGACGGGGCCGTTCCATGTCAGGAATGGGCCCGTTCCTGAGCCGGGACGGACCCGTCCCTGGGCAGGAACGGACCCGTTCCAACTCCGTTCCGGCCCGGCCCAGGTCCGGCCCAAATCCGTTCCTGAGGAAGCCCGAGCAATTGCGGTGGAATGGGCTTTGGGGGCGGTGGGGCGAGGGCGAGGGGCCAGATTAAGTGCAGGGCGAGACCCGACACCGTTCCCGTTCCCATTCCTATGCCATTTGGCCGGGCCCACCTCTGGCCCTAGGGCGCCCTTGGTGGGCGCCGCACTAGAACCCGCTCTGGCCAGCCGGGGGTTGGCCAGTAGGTTGATTCAATCCAGAAACCTAGGCGCCTTGATTTTCGATCACATCTTGAATCGTGCCTCGCGGCGTCGTCCGCTGCACAGCGATCTTGTGCTGAAAGCCACAACGGCAGCCAGTCGACCCCGCACCCTTTCGCAGGCCTCCTTCCAAAGTCTCCCTTAACGGTATCCACCCCGACCTAACCGTCCCCGTTGATGCGCGAATCGCAAGCATTGCGGTTTGGCCTAGACTGGGAAACGCGGCCCGACACCAGCCGCAAACAACCTCTGCCACCATCTGCACCTTCACTCGGTTCTGTTGAGATTTGGGGGTGGATACTGACATGGGGTCATGGACATTAACATGGTTCCGACACCTTGAGGGGGGTGGATACTAAGAGCATCTTTATCGGTGGGTGCTATTGTTCCGGCGGAGCTATTCAGGAACGGTTCTCATTGGCTGCCATGCCACCTTACTAAGGTGGCATTTGCCAAATAGCGCCGGTGCTATTGGGGAGCAATAGCACCGGGCGTGCATCCGTAACCGTGGATGCCTTGGGGAGCAATAGCACCCCGTGGGCATCCGTAACGGGGGGCGCTATTTGCATGGTTCGGCTGTCCCAAGGCCCCTCCGCTGTACTAAGGCCCCTCCGCGTTGTTCCAAGCAGCCGCCGCCAAGTGCTGCACGAATAGCACCGGTGCTATTCTGGGGAGCTATTCGGTCTCGAGCAGAGCTATTCTGGCCCCGAATAGCTCCGCTGGGCGCCGAATAGCTCCGGGGGAGCTATTGGGAAGTTATTACTCCCCAACCGTTAATGATGGTTTTTTGACGTGCGGAGCTATTCGGATAGCCGAATAGCTCCGCCGGAACAATAGCGCCGACCGATAAAGATGCTCTAAGAGCATCTTTATCGGTGGGTGCTATTGCACCGGCGGAGCTATCAAGGAACGGTTCGGATTGGCTGCCGTGCCACCTTACTAAAGTGGCATTTGCCGGATAGCACCGGTGCTATTGCTGCCCTGTGCGCATTCGCAATGGTGGGTGCTATTCCTACGCCGAATGGCATCACGGCAGCACTACAATGTTCCATGCGAATAGCACCGAGTGCTATTCCGGGGTGCTATTTGGCCTTGAGAGGTGCTATTCGGGCCCAGAATAGCATCGCTCAGCACCGAATAGCTCCGGGGGTGCAATCCAGCCACCGTGCTGCTATTCATCAGAACGCACATGTTCGCCAATTTGGTATCACCAAATCGGCTTAACCCAGTGTTTACAATTTCCAAGCACAGGCACTCCTAAGACGCCATCAAGCCCAAGGAATCACATCACAACAGTTGATTTTAGGCCGGACACATTCTCAAAGGCACGGAGACACACGAGGCATTCAGTGCTCCGACGCTTCGCAGGCAAGGCAAGAACTCTGCCGCTGTGTGTCACCGCCGAATCGGTCCTGCAGTGCTTGCTTGCCTCCCGAGGCCGTCATCGAGGGAATCGTGAGAATCCACGTGGTCACAATTTCAGGTGAGCGACTTGCCATCCTATAACCTGGCGCCGAATGTTATGTGGAGGTGCGGGGAGAAAGGGCGCTACCGGGAATGCAGTTGATTGTCGCGCACCGTGCTAAAGAAGGAGGACCACAGTTGACGCAACGGCAGCTCTCCTCTGCGGTTGGGTATTGGAGACTCAGTGATTAGAAGAGGATGCTTTCGTCTCCGCCTACGGAAATAAGCGTGGCACAACGGCCGTTGAGTCGGCTTGTGTGTCAAAGTGGCGGCAGAGCGGATCTTTTTGTTTGAAACGTGCATTGCTGCATCTTACTTGATTGTCAACGTATTTTGCGGTTTTGTCCTCCGCACTGTGGCATTCGTGCCTGCCGTTTCGATATCAATAGCCGTCGGCATCCGTATTTCCAAGTCCTGTTCTGCTGTGAGTATTTCTGTTGCCATCCTACCCGCCTTGTCGCCAAGGGAAGCTCCGTTGAATTGCACCTGATGAAAACTAAAATTTCAACATGGAGAACATGTCTTGCTGGGGGGCTCCCCTCCTGGAGCAAGTTGTCTTCTTGTCATTCACTTTCTGGGCCGAAGCTTGTGTGAGTGGTATCGTGTTGTCTTGCCAGGATGGTCAGGAGCAGCAGGTAGTGATTTGGGAAGTCCAGCTGCAAAAGGAAAAAAGTACCGCTGACGGGGGCTTTCCACGGCCAAACGTGGGATGGGCACAAATGGACAGCCAGTGGGAGGGGACAGCATGGATGAAGATCTGGAAGTTGACAAAAGTAGTGGGGAGGAAGAAGATTCAAGCAGTGAGGATGGGCAGGAAATCAGCGACAAAGACATTGATGAAATAATGGCCCTGGAGGCTGCTCTCAAGGAGAATCCAAATGCATACGACACCCATGTCAAGTACATCAACAAACTGAAGGAATGCAAATTGAGGCCAAAGGCCAGGGCTGCGCGGCATGCGATGCAGAAGCTGTTTCCTTTGACAGAGGCCCTCTGGGTGGAGTGGCTGGCAGATGAGATCGAGGAGGCGAACAGTATGCAGGATGCAGAGTCCATAACGAAGCTGTTCGAGCTTGCTGTTGAAGATTACCTGTCTGTGGACATGTGGAAGCAGTTCTTGGACTTCCTGGTGAATGCACACCCACAAATCGCGCAGATGGCGCCTGAAGGGGTGACTCTGTTTCGAGCCACCGCGGACCGTGCGCTGGCGGCCTGTGGCCTGCATCTTGGCCGAGGCTGGGAGATCTGGGATGCCGTGCTGCAGTATGAGCAGTGCCATGAGCGGTCAATGAAGGATGGGAAGGAGCGCGAAGCGCAGAGGGATCGCATCAGATCCCTTTTTCATCGTGTGCTGGCAGTCCCTCTGTTGACTGGTCGGACGCAAAAGCCAGGTGTCCCTCGGGGGACTGAGCGAAAGCACATGGAGGCGTATGAGCAGTGGGAGAAGGACGTAGGCGGCAGGGAGGTGCCGGCCCGTGTGTATCGGTCCCTGGAGAAGGCGCAGATGATGGTGGATATTCGGAGGAGCTTTGAGGAGAGGGTTGGTGAGAATCAAACTGCGGATGCAGAGCTGCTGGCATCGTACTTGGCGTACATCAAGATCGAAGAAACCAATGGAGACCCAGCAAGGGTTCAGTGCATTTATGAAAGGGCCTTGGCTGTGTTTCCTGTCACGCACAGCTTGTGGCTCTCATACGGGGCCTACCTGGATAAACACATCAAGACGGGCCCGGTGCTGAAGTCTGTGTATCTACGGGCTGTGCGAAACTGCCCATGGGTGGGTGAGTTGTGGGGCCAGTCCCTGAGGACCTTGGAGCGAATGGGCACCTCAGACGAGGAGTTCGATGGGCTATATCAACAGGCCTTGCAGACTGGCCTTCAAGGGGTTGAGGACTACTTGACGGTAATACTGACAAGGATCGACAGGGCGCGCAGGTTGTGTGCTGGGAACATGGACAAACTCAGGCAGGTGTTTTCTGATGCAGCTCAGTTGCTGGGACAGTATTTTCCCCAGTGGGTGGACAGAGATCTGCGATTGGTGGCATACTGGGCAGACTGTGAGTTGACTATAGGTGGGGATGTTGAACGCGCAAGGGAAGTGTACGAGATGGCCCTGAAGACATGTGCTGGAGGTGTGATTGAACTGTGGAAGTCCTATGTCATGATGGAGTTGGGAAACGGCAACATAGCTGAGGCACGGAGGTTGTATCAGCGAGGGCACAGCAAGATCGTCGAGCAGGATGCAAGGGCCAGGTTCTGTCTTGACTGGCTGAGGTTCGAGAGGGAGAGGGGGAGTGCAGAAGAGTACTGCCATGTGCACCAAAAGGTGGCACCGATCATCGAAGCAGCTACAGCAGCCCAGTACTCGATGCACAATCAACAGCAGGCGGAAATCTCGGAGAACGCCCTCCAGAAGACCCCCAAGCTGACTAAAAAGGAGAAGAATCAACTGAAACGGGAGGGGCAGCCACCAGGCGAGTGGACAAGGGACCACCAAGCGGCCAAGAAACGGAAGGTGGAGCACAAGAAGGACGACTCCAGCTTGATGCCACCTCCACCCCCACGTAAACCACAAGGTACCAAACAAAGTGAAAACGGTGCCGCTGCTGCAATGGCGAAAGGCGCTCTGTGCCCAGAGTCAAATCACAACCCCATGGAGAAGCCAGTCAGTGACATGCATCACGAGGCTTCCAAGCATGCAGCTCCACTCTACTCTGACAACCTGACGGTGTATGTGCGTGGCATCACCCTGGACACGGAAGATTCGCAGCTGGAGGAATTGTTCAAGCCCTGTGGTGGCTTGAAGGAAGTTCGGCACATGAGGAACCCCAGCGGCACCTCCCGTGGATATGCCTATGTCGAGTTTGAATCGAAGGAGGGAGCCGACAAGGCAGTCGAACTTGGCGGGACTATGCTCAACGGCCGGGCTCTTTTCGTAGCAATGTCCAAGCCCACAAAAGGACCGAACGCTGTCAGAGGGGGATTTAGAGGAGGCGGCCCAGGGAGGGGCGACCATGATATGAGTAGGGGGAGGGCAAGGGGTCGAGGCCGCGTGGGCGGCCGCTTCTCTAGCCATGATGGGCGTGGCCGGGGACGAGGCCATGGCCGTGGTTGGTTGCAAGGGGGGGGGCAGGAGCAGGAGTCGGTTGATGATGGCAAACCAAAAACGAACGAAGAGCTGAGGAAGATGCTGCTCGGATGAAGGCTTCCTTTTTGTGGCGAGGAAAGCAGATCAGTTGCGCTGGTGTTTGATGCCTTTGGCAAGGTGGGGAAGTGCTGTCCTTTTTATCTTCCGGACAATGGGAGAAGCCGTTTCTGTTTGTAACGTGTGCTCGACCCGGGTGGCCTTCGCTGCCTCATAGGCACATGAACTGCTGTTCATGGCTGCTGGCGTGGGAGCCCTTGGAGTTTCGGAGTACCTTCAGAGCACTGCAGCTCACAGCAGTGAGCAGTGGAAGCCAACTCGCTGATCGCATCTTTCTCCGAGCATTCCTGTCTGCTGGATGTTGGTCGGGGCGCTGGGCGGGACAACAGCAAGCCCGAACCAAATTTAATTCACACCTGCCAACAACGCCGGTGCTGTCGTGAACATGCGTGCTGGGTATTTTGACTGGGAAATTTCATGTATTTGGCCAGTGCAGCGATCAATGAGCTGATCTACGCAAGGGTTGTTCTGAGGAATACATGAGGTTTGTTGTGTTGAGGAGCTGCGACCCTCTGTCGATCTTATCATCGGAATGTTGTTGGACTGACGCCGGCAACACTGAGCAAGTGCCATCGATAGCAGAGCGATATTTCCCATTACAAGTCGTCCTGGCTGTGCCACTGGAGTGATCAGTATTCTGTAACGGTCCCCTCGACCTTGGCCAGCATTCCGCATGCACTCTTGTGCAACTTGCGCCATGCAATTCCCGCCAAATTCGCAGAACATGGTGCGGCCAATCGTGGTTAGCACAAGCACTCAATCGACCCCCGTGTTGCGAGTGTGTGATGCTCAGGATGACGTTACCAGTTGTTGTATTTCGTGGCTCAGCTGGCCGAATGCGTCCAGTGCCCAAATCGCACGGCTGTGCATGGTGGAAACAGGACGTTGGACTCACAGGTGCTAGATTTGATGCGCGGGCAACGCTTCTCACCGAACCAGCCATGTCCAGAGAATTCAATTTCTGGTCGCGAAAAGGTGCACGCCACCGGTTCGCATATCACGCTTGCGCTGTCCTAGTTGGCAGCCGCCTCTCAAGGAACGAAACGAAGTGTCACATTCAGCCATCGGAAAAGACAAGGTGAATAAACATTAACTATGCATGCGATTCCCCAGGCTTCGACTGGGTGTACAGTGTTGCTGAACACAGACACAGTGCACAGGGTACAGGAGCGCGGCGAAAGACCTCCCCGAACAAGCCATCAACCAGCACAGGCCATTGCGACAGGATGTGACCCCCCGCGATCCCATTCTCGTGTGAGTTCGTCAAGTGTGCAAAGTTCCACCCAATTCGACGCTTCTCTGTTCTCAACACATTCCCTGCAGCTCATTCTCCCTTCTTGCCTTGTGGATCCGTTGTACCAGTGGCGACTCGTGGGCAAGAGAGCATGCCCAGTGCGCACCGTACAACCTATGAACGTAGCCTGCCTTCCAATAGTTCCAAGACGCACTACCTCAAATGTGGATTCATGCATTGCCACAGCAGTCAATCGTTCACGGACTTACGCAGGCTCCCAGGCCACGCCATGCCTTCCCACGCTGCTCTCATGTGCTGCTCTCTGCTCAGCACAGGACCTTCCACAATATAAATTACCGTTCTTGAATGAACAAGGGTTTGAGGAGTTCCAAATTTCGCAGTATATCCATCACAAGCCCAAACACCACATTTTGGTGTCCTCAACGCGGTCATCAACAATTCCCATCCTTTGCCCCTCCCTTGTCGTCGTCCCTATTGGCCATGATGTACGCACTCGCCTTTCCAAGGACCTTCTGGTCGATGAATTCCCTAACGACGGCGATCGCTAACGGTACTGCAACGTGAGGCTGCAGAAAGTACGTCTTGGGCTTCATGTTGGTCATGACCTCTGCCCATTTCACCATCATGGCGTCCCCTTGCCGCTGCATTTCGCGGCAGCACGCGTCCAGCAAAATGGGATACCGATAAACCAGATTGGCGCCACCTCGTGACTGTGCCCCATTTGCAGAAGAATGTTAGTCCAGGGCCTAAATGAATGCTGGCAACAGCTGCACATGTGCACAAGACAGGGCAAGGGCAGGACAATTCGACAGGTGCCATATGCGCCGCACAAGCGGGCTGCCCTGCACCATGACACGTCATTGACACCAGCCCATCAATGTCATGATTTTGCGGGAAGTACAGCTGATGCGGGCTGGGGTGTTTTCAACCAAGGTTGTTTGAGACATGCTCGCAATAGAACGCGACTCATTTCTGGAAGGATTAGAGACATGCAACAATGCCACTGGTGAACACCACACCAGAGATTTCCGCACTCGTGCGTTGCCATCACAGGGACAATTCTGACCCACTTAGGTATGAGCTTCCATGCTGCAGATGCAGAGCTGATTTTCGAGCCTTGGATGGAGGTATGGTCCTGGCTCAAACAGGCGCTAATGGCGCTGAATATCCTCACCAGCTCGTTGACACCATTCGGAACAAGAAGAACGACACACTGCCACACGCCTGACTTCTAAGCTGTGCCCTCGATGGACATTCCCTGCCTGCTGCAGAGACCACCTACCATGTAGAAGTCATGGCCGAATGCTTTCATCCAACCCTTGTAGTAGCGCTTCGTGGATGCCTTCGAGTAGTCTCCCGTTTGCCGCATGGCCAGCAGCGCCTCTGCGGCTGCTTTGCCTCCCTTCAATGATACACCAGTACCACATTATGAGACGCACTGAATGCATTATTACATACAACATGTCCCTGTTGAGCTCGTACGACTAGGCAGTGTCGTGCTTGTGGTGGGTTGGAAGGACCTCACAGTGCTTTTGAAAAGAACCTCGACCCCCACGAACACAGAAAGGGCGTGCCATCGATCACAGTATGGTGACAGCACAGCATAATGATGAACTGCACAGCTCTTCGCTCCCAAGGCCCTTTGCATTGAAGATCAGGCCTGCCAACCAATGTGAAGCACACGCCCTCTAGGGGCACCGTTGCCAAACATCACCTTGTCTAAAATGCACTGGCAAACGTGTTGGATGACAGATGATGAGCAGAAAGCCCAGCCCTCCACTATCTTACTAAACCTGATTACATGGCTGTCAATGGTCGAACGCATCCACCCATGTGTTTTTCTTCACATCGATATGGCAAGGAACAATCTTGCTATCACTGCAGGCAAGTACTTTGTTAAGACTGCTCTGTGCATTGTTGCAGACTACAGGCTCCACCAGGTGGGCACGTCAGTTCTGACTTCAATACTGTCCTGAGGTGTTGCCAATCAGCCTATATTAAGGATACGAAGTGCAGGTCTATTGGGAGCCACAAAAGGAGGGCAAAACTGAGCATCTTGTAAGGCAGATTAGCACTTAGAAATGTACTTCAAATGCTGTGACCTGCTCCATGAGTCTCCCAAGCTTGCGAACTGTCGAACATACCATGATGGCTGTGTGAATTCCTTCCCCTGTGAGGGGGTCGATGTGACCTGCTGCATCCCCCACGAGTAACAAATGATCGTCAAAGGTTGACTTGATGCCTTGACATCCCAGCCTCAGAGCGGCGGCCTTCATGCGCTCAATTTTGGCCTTGGGTCCAAGGGCCTTGCTGATGAAAGGGTCGTACTTGATGGCGTTGTTGTGCAGGGAAGGGAGGTCTGACTCCTGCGGCAAGTAGAAAGGCAGCCGCGTCAAAACAATGTTTCAAATTAGGACAAAATCAATCACTGAACAATCAGGGCAACCCAAGCGACAGGGAACCAATTGGGGTGAAAGGTGCCATGGGGTAATAGGTCTTTGAAAGACACCTGTGCAGTCACTCAACATGCCACTGCACCAATGCATGAAATCGAAAATAGCTGCAGCACACCGGCAACACAGCCCTGCGATCTGCAACAATTACATAGCCACAAGCATAAAATAGATAAGGTCAGCACTGCATAAGGGCCTGATTCAGAGTTTCAACACCAGCCAGTACAATGCACTACTGGTAGATATCACTGCACACAGGGTACCAGTATTAGCATCATTCAAGGGCCAACATCAGGTAACACCTGGCATTCTGTGGGCGACAACCCTATCTGCGGAGATCTACCTTGACATCCCCACACATGCCCTCTTTCCCACAAGGGATCAAGTAGTAGCAGAAATTGAGCTCATCATTGGGGTGCCGGAAGATTGCAGAGTAACCTGGCAATGACTCTTTCGCATAGAAGCAAACACCTGTAAAACAGAAACCGGCAGACACCGAGGGCAGAGTCAACACCCTGCTGACACACAGCTGCAGGCAAGCTCATACACTCCCAGAGGAGGTGGCTCTCCTGTACTCAAATTCTGGCATTCGAACACTACGCAGCAGCATCAACATGATTGGTTTCACAGATCACAACCTTCCAACAAGAAAACTGTGCTTGCTCCAATGTGTGCCACATGAAAGAGAGAAACCACACCTCGGCGAATGGGACACATGGACTGACAGCAGGTTGGCTGCAAACAAACAGGTTGCCTGGGGATGCACGTACCATCAAAGCTTACGTTGTGTGTTCCCGCCTCAACATATGCTCGGCTGCAGACGCCCTTTGGCGCCTCTGTGCAGTACCCAAGTTTGGAGGCCAAGCGAGAGGTTGCGCCATCTGCACAGACAAGCACCCGTGACTGGAATTCGACACCCTGCAAAGCAGCACGAACAGGAAGGCAATCAGGGCCTGAAAGAAGCTAGCCACTGCCCATTCTAGGGTTGTGCAACACGTGCACTTCGCATCGCAAACCTGCTGATCACCCTCTGAATTTACAGTCGATTGAAAGCATGGCATTGGGTTTGAGTCCACAAAGATACCAACAACTCAACCTGAAGCAAAGGAAATCAGGACATCGATTGTTTCAGAGTGAGAGATCGATGCCTGCCAGTTGTTTTGTGCCAAATCGAATGGTGTGGCTAGAAACAGACTTTGAAACTGCCAAAAATTCATAGCCTGGGCCACGTTCAACTTTTATGTAAGCCACCGTGTGACTGACACCAGCAGACATGTTGCATAGGCACACCAGCCAATCTTCTGCACCACGCACAGGCAGATCGACAGGCAGCTGCAGGCAACAAAACTCGGGGTTTCGACGAAGGCAAGTTATCGAACCATTCTCTCCCCTCTTCCTTGCCTCCAGCGCGATCGGAACTTGTTTCCTAGTGTTGAAAGGGAGTCTCCTCTGCTTGAACGCAGATTTGGTTTCTTCTGGTGTGATGATGACACTCTATGGAGTGTGTAACTTCATCACAAAGCACAATCCCCAATAGATGAATGGCCAGCTACTCTTCATCTTTTGATTTTGTAACTTCATCACAAAGAACAATCCCCAATAGATGAATGGCCAGCTACTCGTCATCTTTTGATTTTGATGATCATCAAGGTTGATTAGCATTAAGGATTTGTTGAAGCACGCCGCTGCCACCCACTTGTTTTGTCTTCACGGTCCAGATGCCCTTGCTTTGGTCAAAGACGGCATCCGTGACCTCCATGCCTTCTCGAAGGTCGGCCCCCGCTCGAGAGGCGCAGCGCGCAATCCTCGCGTCCAGGTGCGTTCGCTTGACGGCGCACGCAGCAGCCTCTCCAATTTTCTCCACAGAAGCACCTGTGAATGAGCAGCAATCTTTCATCCAGATGACGTTCGCTTTGGGACCCTGAGCAGCGGCACTTGCGTAATTCGCGGAAATGCAACAATCCCCAAGATAAAAGGAGGGGCCTTGGAAGGGAGCCCCAAGCAGGTAGAACGCAGGCGTGCGGGGGCGTGCGCATGGCGAATGGCCGTCGGGACATGTGGCACGGCATCCAGCACTCTGGAGGAATCACAGCAAGGGAAAGACGTAGAAAGGCCACAACACAGGGCTGCAGTTCCTCAGGGGTCTCCTACTGTGTCTTCGAGAGAGCAGCATGCCTCGCAAGAAAGAAGAAGAGATTTCGCCGCTGCGCGGCGCCCCTGAAAACCGCCCTGACCCCGCGGGCCCAGCCCGCCGCCCCCGCACCTATGTACACGTGCCCGTGCGGGCTCACGAAGCCGCCCGAGTCCGCGAACTGCGCCTCGTTGCCCTCCACCAGTTCCGCCATCACGCCCATCTCCTCCAGGATCTTGATCGCCGGCGTGCAAACCGCATCGCCACAGTACTTGTCCCTCGGGAACTTCTCCTTCTCCAGCAGCGCCACCTTCGCCCCCCCTTTGGCCATGAAATACGCCGCCGTGCTCCCGGCGGGCCCCGCCCCCACGATGCAGGCGTCGTAGGCGCCATCCGGGAGGCTGCCCGCAGGGTAGGGCCCCTCGGTGGGGTACCTGTGGGACAGCGATCGGTGCAGCAGGTAGCCGCCGGCGGCCGCTGCGCACACGGCGCCGGCGGCCACGGCCGCCACCTTGGGCTCCCTGGCCCTCTCGAGCAGCGCCTGCATTTTTGGGGTGCGGTCGGATGGCCTTGTTGGGACGGTGCGGGACGGCAGGCCTGTTGGGAGCCCATGTTGCCTTTCGAAGGGGTTGGAGGAGCACACGCACGGGGCCCAATGATCGGCTTGATCCGGGGAAGGCTGGCGGTTGATTTTGGGGTGGGTCGCAAAGTACGCAGCAGGGGGGACGGGTGTGCCCGGCGTGAAATTAGCCGCTCTGTCTTTTCTTTCAAGGTCCCTTCTTGTTTCGACACCCTAAACCCTAAACTACTGACCCAATCACCGGCGGTGGCCTTGTTAGCGGAAGAAGAAGGGATCCTCACGGAAAAGACAGAGGGAAAAATACACTCTTCGCCGGTCGTGGTGGTGTGGCAAATGGCGCGTGCCTTTTGTGCCTTCGACACGGCTAAGATCTCGTTGCCAAAATGTCCGTTGCCAAATTGTCGCTGACCCGTTTGCGTCATCTGGAACCGGGGCCCGGAATCTGCGCCCACCAGCGCCCGCAAGGGCTCCGCATGCCATGACCATTTTGGACAACTGCAGCCCATGCAATTGCGCACCGTCGCCGCAAGTTTAGACGGGCGGGAGTCTCCCGCGCAGAGGGGCGGTGACCGCACAATGTGCGGGACCCCGTCCGGGTCAGTGACAATTTTCCATGGACTACAGCTGACAAGTATGGCCATGGCAAGCGGAGCCCTTGCGGGCGTTGGTGGGGCGCAGATTCTATTACCCGATTCCAGATGACGCAAACGGCCATAACGCACGTCCTCACCAAAAGGATGGTTCCTTGCCTGTTGGTAGCGGGCGACTTGCTCGTGCCGGCGCGCCGAGGATGGTGGCGCTCCAACCAGGCGGCCGCAGCGCAGACCGACCGCATGGTTCCAGTCAGCACCATCACGAATCGACGTGTCAGCACTTTTCCGTGCCCCGTGGCCACGTATGATAACTTGGCCGAAGTGTCGCAGGGCCGAATTGTCACATATTCCGTTCACCGACACCCACTAACCAGAATTCCACGCCGTCAATGAATGAATCACCCATCACATCACACCTCCTGGGCTGAGCTGATTTTAGAAAAGGGCCGGGCTGGCCGCGGTGCTGGGCGCTGCGCTCGCCGCCCAGCCATTAGCGCTGGGTGAAGCTGCGGAGCCGAAGCTGCCCCACCGCTGGGCGGGTGTACTTATTTCACGAGGTACTGAAGTGGGCGGGAAGCGCGGGAGGCCGGAAGGGAGCCGTGCAAAAGGTCCGTGTTGCGCGGCCCGGCTGTGGCGCAGGCCCCACGGGGATCCCCCGCGGCATCGGGGGTTGGTGGGGCTGGGTGGGATTGGAAGGGTGTGAGGGCCATGTGGAGCCGAACTCGAGGTGACGCCGACCTTCCAGCCCGCGCCCGCCCACCGCCGTGCTCCCTTGCGAGAAAAACTCTGGCCGTTGCCGCCAAGATGCGCCCGGCATCTTGCTGTCGCCGCCCGGCTCCTCGACTTCGCTTCCGCTTCCCCTCCAGGGATCGCGATTCGGCCGTGATGGAGCATCCCTGGCCGGCCGCCAAAGGGGTGCGATGCTTGGGAGCTCCGAAGCCCTGGTACCTGGAGGGGACCGGAGAGCCATTCGCGGAGAACCTTTGTGTCGCACACCGGCTGGGCGGCATGGATGGGTCCTGGGCTGGCATCAGTGGGCCGCCCTCAGAGAGGGAGATTCTGTGCGACGACGATGCCGAGAGGCGGGCGCGAATCGAGTTTTGAGAGTTTTGGATCGGGGCTTGGGCCCTCGGCGGGTCGGCGAGCGGAGGCGGCGCGGGGCTGCGGGCCCCAACGGCGCGGCGGATTATCGCAGGGATTTGGCCGGCGCGTGGAACCAAACGGTCCGACTGTATTAGTAAAAATTCCGTATTGTGACGTGGGGGTGGGTCCAATCAGAACGCGGCGTCGTGCTGTGGCCCCTGAAGCCGCGCACGCACTCTGTAGCTTGCTCGCCCAGTATGGCTGTTGGCTTCCGCACCGACAGGCGGGAGTTGCAGACCGGCGCGTGGGGGTCAAGTCTCACCGGTGCAGGTTTTATCCGCGGCGGCCATTATGGGACGGATCGAAGGCTGACCCCGGGGGTGCATATGCTTGCAGCCGCGCCCAGAGATGGCGGACTCCGAAACCGGCCTGCCCGAAGTGGCCAAGGTGCTGGAGGGCTACCCGCGGTACCAGATCGTCAAGGTGCTGGGCTCGGGCACCTTCGGCACGGTGGTGCTGGCGAACGACCAGGAGCGCGACGGCGAGCGCATCGCTGTCAAGCTGGTGGAGATAAACGACCGCGTGCCGAAGTACGTGTGGCGGGAGATCGAGAACCACAGGCAGCTGCTGAAGCACCCGCACATCATCGAGTTCTATGACGTCTTCAAGCCGGTGGAGGGCCGCGTGGCGATCTCCATGGAGTACGCGGACGGCGGGAACCTGTTTCAGTACGTCAGGAAGCTGAGGCGCCTGGAGGAGGAGCTGGCCAGGTGGCTGTTTCAGATGCTGATCCTGGCGGTGGACTACTGTCACCGGAAGGGCGTCGTGTCGCGCGATATCAAGCTGGAGAACATCCTGCTGAAGAAGAGCACGTTCCTGCCGGTGGTGAAGCTATGCGACTTCGGCTTCTCCAAGAATGTGAACATTCACTCCATACCGAGGTGGGCCCTGCGGCCTTGCTGGCGAAAGGAAAATGCTGGCCTGCGGCTGAATAGCTTATTGATGCATTCCCAGCCCAAAAACGGAACGAAGAAAGGCAGGTTTGGAGGACGGCCACGAATTTCGGGCTGCCACGGTGGCGACGTTAGGAAAGGATGCGCAGCGCGACCCAGCGGATTGCTTCAGGACGGAAAAAAGAAACTTCGGGCAATGGCCCTTTGTCAGCAAGAATTCTTGCAAGACCGTCACCCCTGTTGGAGCTGCACACCTCCAAGTTTTTGCCACCATCGGTGTGAAACGGGCAATTTGCTGAAAGTTGCTGCCAGTTCCAAGTGTTTGTGTGACTGATCTTGGCCGTTGCGTTCCTAGGTCCAAGGTTGGCAGCCTGGATTACATGGCGCCTGAAGTGGTGGATGCCAGGGGGCGCATTGAGTACGATGCGAAGAAGAGTGACGTTTGGTCTTGTGGCGTTGTGTTGTACGTCATGCTCACGGGCATGTACCCCTTCGAGGGGGGCATGCGGGGTGCCCCACAGGACAAGCGAAAGGATGATGTGATCAGGCGGATTCGCCGGATCGAGTACACAGTCCCTAACCACGTGTCCATGGATGCCAGGGACCTAATTGAGCAGTGCCTGACAGACAGCGAGCACAGGATATCGATGGCGGAGATTGTGCAGCATCCCTGGTTTATGAAGAATTTTCCAGAGGAGGCAAGGACGATGAACGCCACCATACTGGCAGATCAGGAGGCCGCTGCCGCTGGTGAGGAACCATCTGGGGGTTCCATCAGCTACAACTGGAGCCTGGACCCAAGGAGGCAGAGGGACATCATGGACCCAGAATGGTATGAGCCCATGATAGATGAGGAGCTCAAGAATGATCATGATGATGGGGTTGATGTCTTGGCCGCCGACCTGAAGAATCAGCAGATTAGGGGCAACCCAGGCAACCATTAGGAGGGCATTCTTTTCTGTGTGGCATTGTTGAATAGAAGCTGCTGCCGTGCCGTGCAGTAACAGTGCACACTTGCAGGGCCTTAGACAGCGTTGTGACTTGAGGAGGGCAGACTTGAAGGCTTGTGGGTGAGTGCACCAGATGTGGAGGCTGTGAATGGGGCCATGTAGTGTTGCCCTGTGTGGAGGCACAAATTCATATGGTTTCATAGGTGCTTGTACATGTGTGAATGTAAGTTTCCTTTTGTCAAGATTGTGAGTTCAAGGAAGCGATACATGCCACTCAGGCCCTCGAAGATCAATGGGGCAATGCAGGTGCGCATGGTGTGTGTGACATATCCAAGCAAAGTTGCCTGCGTTGTGCCTATCAGCATGTGGTAAAAAGATGGTCGTTTGTCCAGAATGCAGAGTTGAAGGGAGGATGGAAGTCGGAGGGGGTGAACCTTTGCAGCACTGCACTCCCGAGCAGTGTTCCTAGGAGTGGGTCAAGTTGGCTCAGAGTCTTTTGTGATCGGAGGCGCTTTAGCACGCACGTGTCAGCTGTGTTCCACCTCGCCAGGAGCTGGACCCAGTGTGCCAGAGTCCTTCTATTGCATGGTAACACCTTTCGGAAGGGAGCTGCTCATGGCAGTGGCACTAATCTTAAGCATGGAAAGAGCCAAGCAATAGGCTCTCCATCCTTGCAGAGTGTCTGACACTTGTTTCCAGTTCAAAGGGCGAGTCTGGATTTCAAAGGGCTGGGCCGCGTCCAGTCGTTGAAATGGCGGCCATGGACGGAGAGAACATGCTGCGATGTTTCTGGGCCATGAGCTATGTTGCGGCCAACGCCAATGAGCTGTGTGGCTAAATTCCTGTGCAGAAACTCAACCGCCCTTGAGAGCCTTGAGAGTTGTCTGTCCGATTATTGATACGGCATCAATATTTGTACATTGCAGCGCGTGGTGGTCCTCGGTGGGTCCCTGCAAACGCTCTCAAAGTACAGCCCCCCGCCTGTGCGCTGCCAGGGCGACGGCTGACGCATGCCGTGGAAGCCAACTCCGACGTGAATGCGGGCTGCCGGGTTGCGGTGGACTCTCCCAACTCAATAACATGATGGGCCCAGATTCGGGCACAACATCCCCTGGGCGCGCGTTGCAGCCCTGCTCCCCCCCCCTGGGTGCACCAAGGGCTCCCTGGACATCCCCATCGGCCGCGGACATCGCCGCGGTGGCGCCACCGCCGCTGCAGCAGCCGGGCGCTTCCGGGAGCCTCGGTAAGCGACGCCGCTGGTGGAGCGCACCTGACAGGATGACTGGGGGGTGCAAAACCCAGCCGCGGTCTCTAGCCGGTCTTGAGCGGCAGCTCGTTGAAAACCCTGTGGGCAGGTCGGGGATTGGAGGCGGTTTTTGGACCGGTGCGCGCTGGCGGTGGGGTGAGGTGGAATGGCGTGCCGGGCAGCGTCGTAGAGGTGTCCTGTGGGTTGCTCGGCCATGGCGCGTGAAAGGGTTGGGTGGGGGGGGGGAACATGAAGGCGGGCTGTTTGCCCACACCGCCCGGAAGTCTGCCAGCCTGGTTTGGTGGATTGGAGTCGGTGAGCATGGCCGTGTATGGCAAGATGTGGGGAGGGGATCGGATGGGCTATGAATGGCTGGGGTGGATTGGGTGAGTGGATTGACAGGAGCGTCACGAGCGGGCACAAGTGACACGCGGCTGCGGTGTGGGTGGGGTGGGGCGGATTTCCGGAGGCTTGGCTTCAGACCTGGGGCGACCTGCTGCTGATTTCGTGGCATGGGGGATGAGTTGTGAATGGTTTGATGGGCGGTGGGCTTGGGCCGGGTTTTCTGGGTATTCCGCTTGGGATGCCTGGCGCCCTGGGCCCGGCTCCATCCTTTGGGTCCGAGGCGTTGCAAGGGCGCCCCTCCCGCCATGAATCCGGCGATTTCTGAGTGAATGCAGACGTGGGCCACTCGGCGGCTGGGCCCTGGGCAGGGCTCCCCACTGCTGTGTGGCGGGCGGTGGCCAGGCGTCACGCCCCACACCCAATGCCCCAACCCGCGGGCCGGGTCTGCTCAGCGCGGGGGGCGGGCAGCCTGCGCTGCCCTTTTCACCATTCTGGGCACGTCCTCTTGCAAGCGGTTGTGTAATTGAGCCGCCCACCCCCCACCCCGCGGCCCGGCTGCTCCGCCTTGCCCGCGGGCCGTTACCCTTTGGCTTAATCCCATGGGAAGTGCGTGGGAAGCCGCCTGGGACGCGGGCCAATGGGCCCCCAGTCCGCGCACATTTCCCAACCCCCCCCCACCTTACACTACGGTTTGCCTCGGATTTCTGTCCCATGCCCGCACGTCTGTCTCCGCGCTCCCCAGAATCCCACCACGCAGCGCCGGGCGCCCAAGGGCGGAAAGGGGCAGGGGAGGGACCGGCGGCGCGTGCAGCCCCTGGCGCCGGCGCCCGTGCTGCGAGAAGGGAGTTTTTGGCCGTCATCCGCGCCGTTGGCTGCTGCGGGGGCGCGGGCTTGGAGGGCCCCGCGGCGCGGCGCGAGCGCGCATCAGCTCTCGCGCCCCGGGAGCCGCCTGTCGCCGCCATATGGTGCACAGGTTCTCTTTTATGAAGCATTTCGTGCAGGTCGGTGGCCCGCCGGTGCATTTCGTTGTTTTTGCTCCCGCGGCGTCGGTGTGGGTTCCCCCCGTCCCGCGTCCCTGGCTGTTGCCGAATGTGGGGGCGCGCGGCAGACGCGGGGGGCGGCCCAGGGTATTGGACGGGGGCGTGGCCAGGCGGCCTTGCGGGAAACTGCGGGTTGGATGAGGATCTGCCGGTTGGCCTGAATCATCTGGGGCTGTGCCGGTCGCTGCTGCAAACGTGCAGCTCCGCTGGGGCTTGGGGGTGGGCGCTTCCGGCCTTCTCCCGTGGGCGACGAGTAGCGGGCGCCGTGCGTCCCATTCACTTGAGACTCGGAGCTGCCCTGAGCATTTGATGTCGAAATTTGGGCTGTGCAGCTTGCACAATTGTAAGGAATAGCCGCTGTGCGTTGCAGCTGACCCGCTGCTCATGGCGTTCGCAGAAATCAATTCAGCTGTTCAACCACATCATCTGCACCCAAGCCCCGCCTTGCGCGAGCGTGTCTGGGCCCTGCCCACCCTTCGCCATGACACAACAGCATGAAAATCCGCTGGAAGGTCATCCGAGATATGAGAAGGTGTCAGATGTCAACAGCGGGTCCTTCGGCTTCGTGATGAAGGCCAGGGACAGGCGAGTGTCCACCCGAGCTTGGATTGGTGTGCTCCTGCTTTCCACTTTGTTGATAGATGAGAGCTCCTGCCTGCGGACAGCGTTGAAGGAGGTGAACACTGGGCTGGATGTCACACAACGGCGCAATACGGCGCATAGGGACAAACACTTGTGTGAAATTCCATTACATCCAGCCAAACGGCGCAATTCTTTGCTGGTGGTTCTTTTCATGTGCGCCCGCTGCAGTTCACTGGCCACTGCCATACAGGCCAATTGGGTGTGGTCTTGTTGCTGGTGAGAACAATCTTGCAGTCGGCTCGCGTGCTGTTTAGTCGTTCTGTATCGTAGGGTAGGCTCACAAGGAGATTCTCATCTTCATTTCGCGTGCAGACTGACAGGGCGACTGGTGGCCATCAAATTCCTTCATCGGGGGGACAAAATCCACCGTTACGTCCAGCGTGAGATCCTGAACCACAAGAGGCTGAGGCACCCACATGTTGTACAATTCTACGAGGTGTTCCTCACCGAAGAGTTTCTGGCTATCGTCATGGAATTTGCGGACCAGGGGGACCTGTTCCTCTTTGTGCAGGTGAATGCTGTCTTGCTTGCAGCAAGCAGGCAACTCATACCCCCTCCTTATATGATTTCGTGAGACAGTTTGCGTGTTGTGGGAACAATGTAGAAATCTCCCGGCACAGCAGGGAAGCACGTCACAATGCAGCACAAGCAAATGTGCCTGCAAGGGAGCCCTTCATGCTACTGGTGGGCTTTGTCAAGCTTACTAATCCTGTGTGGTGCTGTTTTTGTGCTGCACTTCAAACTGCCCAGATAGTTCCTTATGAAGCAGTACTGGACTTTTGCACTGTTTTCCAAACTATTGCCTTTTGTGCAGAAGGCGGAACAGGAAGACTGCAGTGCTGGCCCATTTGTGTGTTGGCCGTGGATCAACACCAGGATTGTCACCATGTGTTTAACTTCCAGTGCAGCTGCACAACCCTCGGGTACCTGTGCTTCAATGCATTTTCGTTTCACAGTCCTTTTTATTCCATGTGCTCAGAATGAAACAAACAGTTGCTTCAACGCATGCAACACTGCTCTTCACATTCTTGTTATTGGTTTGAGAAATGTTTGTGCTTGACTCTGGCAGTTGCTCTTATCAAAGAAGTATTGCAGTCGCAGAGAATTCGGAATCATTGTGAAGTGAATATTGTTGGAACACGATCTTCCTGCACCCTTGCTGTGTCCTTACTCTCTGTATGTCTGGTTGAATTTCCATGTGTCTAGTTCAATTTCATTGACAAATGCTGTCCGCATGTTTGGCATGCCAGTCACAGCACACAAACTACCTGCACTCACGTACAAAGCCCGCACTGTTGGAGCTATTTCGGCTCACCCGTTGCTGGACAGCAGCTCAATTTTCTTTGCCTCGGTGTCTTCTTTGCTGATGCCTGTTGTGTTGCGCCATATGTCAGCAACGGGTGCGCCTCAAGGAGGATTTGGCACGGTGGATTTTTCAGCAGCTCGTCTTTGGCCTGGATTACACCCACCGGAGAGGCGTGGCCAACAGGGATGTGAAGCTGGAGAACGTTTTGCTGCAGTCTGGGCACCACTTGCCGCTTGTGAAGCTGTGCGACTTTGGCTACTCCAAGCATGAGGACTGGGACTCCGCCCCAAGGTGAATTTCGAGGCAATGGGAAGTTGAAGTCGTTGAGAACTCCTGGGCCATAATCCGTTGCTGCTCTTTCGTATTGGCTGTGCAAATTCGGCATTGATCTGGCAATGCATGTCCTGGCTTCTGGTTCAGAACTTCTGTGTTGGGTGTTTCAGTGTCTGCATGGCTTCGCAGTAGTGATTTGTGATGCCTAGTTTGAGCCCTTCTGCTCTGCTGGTCTGGGTTCGCTTTGCTTGCTGATTTTATGTCTTTAGGTTGGCGCTGACGTTCGATCGACACCTGTGCAGCGCCTGCAGTGACCAGAACTGGAGTGCAGACCGCAAAAGGCTCTGGCAAGAAGACATACGCGCATGATCCCACTGCTGATTAATCTGCTGGAATTGGATGCACTTTATCAGCAGCATCATTTTCTGGGTTGCTGGTATCCTCTGCTGGTTATGCAGTGGGTTAAGTGGCTCGGGTTTGACAATTTCGACGTGCCTGTTGTGTGCACAGGTCGAGAGTGGGCACGCCCGACTACATGGCTCCCGAAGTTGTTCGCAACAGGGACGGCTACTACGATGCAAAGATGTCCGACATCTGGTCGTGCGGCGTCGTGCTGTACGTCATGCTCGTTGGAAACTACCCCTTCAGCCAAACCGAAGACAACAAGATGACGGAGGACTTGCGCCAGAAGCAGGTGCTCAATCGCATCGTTGCCCTGGAGTATCGAATGCCGCCGGACCTGACTCCGGAGTGCCAGGACCTTATCCGGAAGATTCTTGTCACGGACCCCCGCCGGCGCCTCACGATCACGGGGATCATGGAGCACCCTTGGTACAAAGTGGGCCTGCCGCCGAACGCCCTGACGATGAATGACATCTATCTGGGGGCGTATGACGAGGCGGGACTCCAGACTGACGACGACATCAAGAGGATCGTGAGCGAGAGCATGAAGGCCCATGGCTTTGCCGGGGATGAGATGAACTCGTCGGAGTTCGACGCCCAGTACTTGGACGAAGTTATTGACAAGGAGCTGAACAACCTGGGATCGTCGGACGCGGGGCAGTTCAGCTAGTCCAGCCGGGAGGAGACTGTTGAGTTGGACGGCCAGCCGATGAACAACGGACTAAGCTATGTTCCCGACGTGATTGCCCTGGGGCACTGCATGCAGTGCCATGTGTACCCGCAGCTTCAGAGGAGGAGGGGAGATGCAGAAAGGTCCAATCTTAGGGCGAGTTGCAACTCAATGGGGCGCGGCTTTGCAGGCCTTGTGTTGCCGATGCCGGCCCCGCCCAGTGTGTATGGGTCGTGTTCTGTGGGCGAGGAACTGCTCTTGCCTTTAGCGTTGGGATTGCGTGTTTTTCGGATAACCTGGTTCTGTAGAGTACTGAGGCAGAGTCACCGTCTCCTGCTTAGCACAAGTAGACAGTCGCAATTTTTGCTTGTTTGGGGAAGATCTGGGGGCTGATGTCATTGTGGAGATTGTAGAAGTAGACTTTCCGTGGGATTGCGCTCGGGGGAGGCGCAAGGGAAGAGTCCGTGGTGGAGGCCACCTCTGCATCGAAGCCGAGCAGAGGAGTCTTGGAACGCGACAAGTGCAGGGACCATTTTTCATTTCTCTCCCGCTTCGGTTGTGGCGTGGGACAGTGTTTTTGATGTGAGTAGAATAAAGAACCATATTTTTTTGACACCCTGTGTGACGTGGAGAACTTAATGCCGCTGTTGGCGGATTGGAACCGATGAATGTGTAATAACGTGTGTTCTTTGTGTATTTTATATCAGTGGAATATGGGTATGCGGCAAGGGTAATGGTGCGCAAGGGTGGGCGGGCAGAAATAGGGTTTCCGAGCAGGTGTGGGCTGTGGCATGTCAGTATGCGTCGCAAGTCAGTCGCAGATGGGACAGGTCGCCGCGGACCCAGCAACGGCTGGGTTGCAACGTGAGTGCTCCAGTGCGCACCAGGCCACATTGCAGCAAATTTGCTGTCGCTCTGAAGAAACGGATTGCGTGCACGTTCACGACAACACGTGTCCAGGTTGTCCTGGCGCCTTGCTTCCTGGAGGTCGGAATTGCCAGCTCGAAACAAGGTGGACAAAACATGAGAATATGGCAGACAAGAGACTGGTGGAACTTGTGTCGGGCGGTTGCTTTGGACGAACATGCGTCTTAGGTCTGCCGAGCAAGTTGAGGGTGGGACGTCAATGTAATCAGCGAGCCTTCGGTGCAATGGGGGGCAGTGCCTCTGGGGCACGGAGCACTGGGCACCAACGCTGGGGAAAATGGTGAAAAACTGCCGTCTTTTCCACTTGGCGTGCTCGCGCAAATTCTCCAGTACACGTCCATTCGACAGGATGAAGGAACTGGCAAGGCCAGCTCCCGTGCCGCCCACTCGCCATGCGCCCACGAAACAACGCCGCACCTGTCATCGTGCCCAGCGCACCTCATCCCAGAGGTGGCACAGGTGCCATATGGCATGAAATCCTGCAGGCTCTTGTGGCACGCTTTCAAGCACACAAAATACGGTGTACTGGATAGAAAATATGGCAAGAAACTCAAGTGTCTGGCTGGCATGCGCAAGTGTGCGGCCAGCAGCCTACCAGGGACCTGTCCTCTGGCAAGGTGCTCATCGTTTCAAAACTACTTCACAGCATGTGCACAAACGTAGCCAAGGTTACACTCCCTTCACACACAGCTTTTGGCTAGTTTGCCCAGGCATCGAGTTCTTTGGTGGTCATACGAAATTTAGGACTCAGCCAGTCCACCCAACACTCTGCAGCTCCCTTCACTTGTCACCCAGCCACCATCAGCTTGGGGCAGTTTGGCATGGTGTCATAACTTGAGGGGACTGCCAGTTTATGCATGAGATCTCTGTCAATCTTTGTCAGGAGATGCAAGAAGCCTGCCCCCGTCATTTGGGCGCATCTTCTGCATCCATTACGATGCCACCCCCAGACGGAGCAAATTCTTCTGGTGTACCTTTGTTTGGTGGCGGTTCCGGTACGGCCACACGCTCTGAACTCGGTGGCGCCTGGCTCAAGGTGCCTTTTCTCTTCCTGGGCCGGCATTTGCCATAAGAGCCCCTGAATATCTGCAGCAACATCCAAACACAGCCCTCAATTATAAGTGTGTTTATCGTGCCACAGCTTTTCTTGTCTTCTGCAAGCAATCGTCCCAATCCACAATTAATCCCTGAGCATCTCCACAGAATTACTACGTAATTAACTACACAGGGCTGTCGCGACAGAAGTGGAACATGCTATTGTTTGCCAGCGTCCCCGCATAGAGAACCCTGTGGTACATGCATTGCTGAATCAACCAGCGTGCATACCACAATGTGCATTGAATGGTGGATAAACTTCCTGAGGCGCATGTACAGTCTTAAAGGTGACTGCAACTACAAGCGGCATCAAATCCGCCTTGCAAACTGCCCTCACACATGTTTCGTTTGTGCGGCAGGAGGATTGACGATCATGTCACTCTGAACAGACACTGGCAGGATGTTGTGCGTCCGCCATCGCCTGCAAGATGCAAGTGCAGTTGTTTCCACAGCCTGCTGACGACCGCTATCCCTTTAATTTCACACGAGTCTTTGCATCCAGCCCCGCACACAGGGCGCCACATTTTCTGGATCACTGGGCTTGCTCCCGACCATTGTGTGACAGGAAGCAGCGTGCCACAAGCAGAGGCACATAAATGTCCCATCAAAGCAACGCTTTGTCGCCTCCATCTTGAAGGTGGCAACACGACGAAATGAAACTCGTCGGTGGCGTCCTGCGTCCCATTCACATCGTGTGCTGACCTTTGAGCGCACTGAATGCCTTTCCTCCGACGATCATCCATCTTTCCCCAACCAATGCGCAAAGCCCAGTCCGAAAACCCATAAGAGGCGCTTGCGCCAGCGCGTGGATGTGGACCAGCTGCTGCCTTTGCGGGCCCTGCGCACCTTTCCCCTCCTTGTCCTCCTGTCGCCTCTCCCCATCAAGAACACGGGAGTGGTGTGGGCGTCGTTCAGCATGGGGCCGCATGAAGCCATGGCACCCGCGCACGCCAGCCTTCCGGCGTGCGCAAGGCCGCGAGTCAGCGTAGCCATCGTGCAGCCGCCGGGTCTGCGGGTGGCTGGACAGGTGGCGACTGCAGGCCAGGATGCCCCATGGCATGCGGATGTTGTGGAGGGAGCGTGGTTTTTTGCTTGGAAAGATGACTAAAGGGGGAAAGGTAAACCCCGCAACAAAAGGCTGAATCCTGCCCTTCAAAAGGATGAATGTTGGCCACAGTCCCCACAATGCAAATCCTAGGCACTACTGCCCTTTTTCGGTCTTCCATGGGCGCCTCTAAGCGCCTGCCGTACACCCTACACCCTGCACTGGACCGGCAGCGAACCAGCAACGCACCTTTGAACCCCCGCAGAGCACACCCTTTCGTCTTTGAGGATCCCCTTGTGTCTACAAACCCTGAAAAGGACCCCCTTTTGTCAGTTGTCTTTTTCCCCAAGAAGGGCGGATCCGGAACATAAACATGTTTGCGACGCCACCTAATGACCCGCTGTCTCAATGGGTGGAACATACGCAAGTCATAGCCAGAACATGGTCACCACTTCAAGCATGTGGCTAAATGGGAGGGGTGGCCCTTGGAAGCCCTAGGAAAATCAGGAAATGAAGGAAAGAAGTGTTTCGTGCCGTTCATCGATACTACAGCTTGACAAATTTTGGAGAGACATCTGGAATCGGTTGATCGAATTTGTACTGTGGGACAACTGCGATGACAGAATTGCCATCAAGGCTGCAACAAGCGGGAAGGACTGCATCACTGACGCATGGCTGAGGCAACATGTGCTATCACCAGTAGGCAATGCCTTGGATTGTTGGATGACATGCACTGCTTGCATTGTTGAATTCTCACCAGCAATGAACAGTGCCAGAAACGATCCAGCATAGCGGCACTTGGAATGGAAACGCTGCAAAACATCTATGCTAATTTTTGGCTTGTTGCAGTTTCCAATATCTGGGGTACTGTGTGTGCAGTGCGAGAGGCCTGCAGAACAGCCCCCCACCACCTCTGCAGGAACAATGCATAAAGTTAGGAGGAAGTGAGGGGCTGTGCAGGTCGAACGCAGGAAAGTACGGGAGCAGCTGGCATGGATGGGATATTGCAGAACAATGAAGTGTGCACAGTCGCCTTTATCGAACAAAGCCAGTGCTTTGTAATCTGGACCCAAATTGCAGTCAAACTCGAATTTCATCCAACATGTTGGACCCCTAGTCAACTACCCATTGTACATCCCCAACATGCCATCCCGTTGATTGTTGTCCAGAGACCCACAGCACCCAGGCTTCACACTATAGTACAGCATCTCCGATTCCCAGGGCAGGGCAACTGTTCCAGCAATTGCATCATCGACCGCTGGATGGCATGCCACACAAGCAACGAAGGAAGAGGCATGAGTGGGGTTGCTTGGCTGGTAGTCATGGACAGGTGCATCAGCTTCCAGTTGTCTGTTTTCAGCATTTTCAGATCTCGATTCCTTGAGTTTTCCCATCCTCTGCAGAGGGTACATGTTGACAGCATGGACCAATGGCTTGAAGCAGTCCCCTGTGGACAAACAACACCAGCAAATCTTTTCACTGCTGTGGAGCAAATCTGACGTTCGGGGGATGGACACAAAGTTATGATGGCGTCACAATCATACGCAAGTGGCCGAAAACTTGCAAGTCTGCCATGACCCCCTGTATATCAGTACCTGGGCGCTATGCGCCCAGGTTTACGGCTCATTCCTCATGACTTCTGCGCATTCTTCTTGCTGCAGCAAAGAAGCATTCTTAGACACCAAGTGTGCACTCTCTACAACGTTCTGTCCCAATTGCTGGCAAGGTATTCGCTGCGTTCGCAGAAGGCATGCAGGTGGGTCACCAAGCGAAGGGGTCCCATCTGTGACATAATCAAAGAAACAGCTTTGGAAACAAACACAACTGACAACAAAGCCAACGTTGAGCATCACTCGGCGTGGCCCTAAAGGCGCATGGGCAGTGATTTGCTGTGTGTCGATCGTTGTAGACAATGCACAATTGCGCGTATGCACGCACTTGTGACATTATTTTTGCATGGTTCCAAACTATTAGCGTACATTTGACATTAAGCGTAAAGAACTCAAAATGGTGTCCACCCTGGGACAAACACATATTTCATCAGGAGTCTTTCTGCTAAAGAAGAATTCACACTCACACACTCACAAACACACCTGTCACAAATGTGCCACCTCCGCTGAGCCAGGTTCCCTTTTGTCGCACAGAGCCCCGCCATTGTGTTGTGTCAGCAATCCCCCCAGGTGCTCCCCCATCACCACTCAAGACATCTGACTGGCATGCCATGTGCACAACTGCCAAGGAACAAAGGTCCAGGTTCCCCACCCATTGCGCGTGATCCAGCAATGCGACAAAGCCCAGCGCCCTGGGGTTGGCAGGATCGGGGACAAGTGATTGCACCAAGCAGCGAATCGTAGAACCAGCATAGGGGAAGAACTGCTCCCTTGCATTCAGAGAATACAGAGGGAGGGTCACAGGGCTGGGCGAACTTGATGCACCCAACTGTCGAATGTCCCAGAAATCCACCTGCCACATGTCCACATGATCCATTCAATGCCTGATCAGGCACGTTGCAAACCTGGAAGTGGATTTTGGCGGGGAAGGGACAGTCCTCTTGTGGACCACAATGGTCATCGCCTCCCATTCAAACTGTTGCAAATTGTGAGGGAGCGCCCTTGATACTTGAAGGCGAAGAACACCACCATTCCTTCTGCAAGATTTGTTGCAGAATGTACCATGAATGTCACAACTGAATGGTTTTTAAAGTGACATACCGACGCCAGGTCCTTCTGTGGTGTGAGGGTCCATGGTCGCCAAGCTTACTGGGAAGCTATGCCGCACAGCTGACAATGCAGACAAGGCACATCAACTTGACATCATGACCTCAATTAGCGGAGTCAGGGGTATAAGAGAGAAATTATTTACCCACCTTGAGAAATGAATAAAGACAGCACTGACGGCTAGGAACCACTAAGATCTGCTGTGATAGCTGATCTTCCCCCAGTTGAGTGCTGAGATTTTCTTTCCAGAGTCGCTGCATTTGCTATCTGCCGATCAATCTCTAGGTCCGCTGCATCACCTGGCATCTTTTTGCCAGCTGTTGGAAGTTTATTCCTTTTGGGATCTTTTGGGATGGGGTTGGAGATCTCTGAATTTGTTGTGCTGTCTTGGAATGAGAAGAGACTTGAGAGAACAGAAAGCAGCAATACTCACCCGCCCAGTGTTTGTTGCTGCCACCACTATATCTCCACCCACATCTGCAGCCAGAGACAACACTTGCGTTGGTCGCTTTTTCATGTCTGGCGTGTTCAGCAGCAGCTGCGGCACTGGGCCGATCCGAAGGTCCCAGAACTGCACACCCCCATCATGGTCCCCTGCCATCAGCAGACCATGGCGAGCAGCAAAGAAAGTCAGGGTATTGATACCCCGCCCAGAGCTCGAGCAGTCTCTGAGAAGCCGGAGTGGCTTGCCCTGGTCGCCACTGCAGGCGTGCTGTCAGTAAGTACTGATGTGTTTGTGGATATGCATAGCAGAATGAAGATCGGTAGTGATGTGCATGCACTCATGCAAGCACTGTGCTCAAGGTAACAAGTACTTCATTCAGTGGGTTTCGGGCACCCACATTATCGATATTGAGACCAAAGCTTGGTGCACAAAGTCGCAACCGACAAACTTTCCGGAACAGAGGAAGCAATGCCTTTGTCCATGGTGCAAGTCGACGCCCAAGCCACACCCATGGCCAAAGCCACAAATTCTACCTTGTAAGACATCGGAATTCACATCGGAACTTGCGCAACGGTAAAGCTTTGAACTGGAATTTCAAAGAGGTTCAGAGAGCAGCAGAATAAGTAGAGGCTTCTGTTGGTATCACTGCTCAACAGAGCTGAATGACCTGGCAAACGCGCCATCGGACATTGTCTACAGCGTTGATGGGCCGGCTTCATTCACTGGCAGAGGCAGTTGCATCCTTAAAAGTAAAAGAGTGCCTTTTTCTTTCACAGTTTTCATATTCTCCAAATTGGCAATGTCAGATGGCCTGAGATAGTTCAAATGGCTGCCTGCTGCACGAAGGATCGCTGCAGTCCAATAACAGAACAACGAACTGCCAATGGAAAAATGCCCTGGTGAAAACCAAGGGAAGTACAGGAGCAGGGAGCAATGGACCATGGGCCACACCTTGGAGCTAGAGACCAGCTGTCATACCTGGTTGTGCGCTCTTTCAATATGATACAACCTGATGCCTCTGGAACTGCCACCAGCAGCGGCAACGATCTTTTGGTTGTGGGGATTCCAACGGACACTGCGTAGCACCGGCTTGTCATTTATTTGTCGCAAGGGTCTGCAAGTCACTGCTGTGGTGCTGCAACCACACAATCCCATTCAGAAGCTACTTCCGTTAGGTGTGTCTCTGGCAACAACAGAACTGTCTGTCAATGAGCTGGCACTGCCCACAAGGTGCCATACCAGAGCTTTCGCCTGGGCAACTCAAGTGTTGTCATTGCCGATTTCCAATGCTGTCATCCACCATTTAATCCTCCTGTTGTGCAAAGCGACTTTATCTCTGGTGCATTCTGAAAGACCACTGACTGTCACTCTGTCATGCTACCAGAGACTGTACTTCACAATGCAACTGTCTAATTTTGTTCACGCCTGCCATGGATTAACAGGTGGAAACAACAGCAATTTGGCCCAAGTTGACACACGTACTCAGTGAGGGCTGATATCACTGCTGGCAATGGATCACAGGTGTGAAGAACACATGTGCGCGTCACTGATGCCCCAAGAACGTCGCGACTGTATATGTGATCTCACCGTGCTGCAGCTTGCACCCCACGTCTGAGCTGTGTATAATCGAACACATTGATCCTGCCAGAAAGGGCGCCCACAAGTAAATGGCTCCCTGTCAAGTTGAACTCAACGTCTGATGTGAAACTGCTCATCCGTTGGCCTGTACCCTTTGTGGATATTCTGGCAACCTGCACAAATGGCTCTGTTATGCTCCCTAATGCACCCACATAGATGCCAACACATGGGCCTGCATATGTTAAGCCATTGGAACTTGACTTTGAGCACATGCCGCAGGTGCCAGAGCATACGGAACGCAAAGATTGCTGTTGTTTGTGCCATATGTGAACAGTGTGCTCAGTATGTTCTGCCCTTCAGAGCAACCACAATGCGCCATAAACCAATGCCTTGCATTCTAGCTGCTTCAGTATAACAAATACAGAGCAAAGCACCCTGCCCTTGAATGTTGCAGGCAGTCAAGGTGAGCATACTGTGACCATGTTGCACTGGCATCTAATCCAAAGCACAAGTCCACTGCACTTGTGCAGCTGGTGGACAGGGGTTGAGGGTGGCGATTGCTTTAGCTCAGTTGCTTCATATCAGGGAAGACACTGTAGTGCTACCTCTCGGAACTGCTTCATTTGCATGTTCCATAGGGACTCCCGGGAAGTTGGATGCAGAGCCCCAAGTGCTTCTCGCTGCATGACATCCCTGCACGACAGTCAGTGAACATTGTGAATGGGAAACTCAAGGTGAATTTTGTGCATGGCGATGGCAGTCATACACAAGAATTGCGCAATTTTCGCCACCTTGTTTCAGTGCACGGCAGCACGAAGTCCCGAAAGTGAAGAGAGAGCCACATCAAGATGATTGAATACGAATGCATGTGTTCCAGTTGTTCCGATACAAAAGGAGCTCAGCACACTCCTGGCAGCGGCGGGGTGTCAGGCATCAACACAAACCTCATATTCGCTGGTTCAAAACGTCAGAAACAAGCCCCCCCGGCAGATGAACCGGTCTTTCGGTTTTTCGGCGTACTTTGCCCTCCACCACCCACAGATCACACTACCTGTCCGTCCGCTGCCCACGGGAAAAAAGGCCAGGACCAAATGGGAGCAGGCGGAGACGCCCGCTTCACCTTCCACAGCGTGGAAGAGCACCTCCAACCGGATCTTTCTTTCCCGGGAATTGGAAAGGTCGGCAGCTCAAGGTTGACAACTGCACTGTTTTCTGCTGTAGTTCAAATTGGACCCTTGCACGGGTTGCGGGTGTCCACCAACTTGAGCGGTGACATCCCGCCCAGACCCACACGCCTAGCAACGTCAACTCAAGGTTGACAACTGTAATCCGAAGAGTTGGCCCATAAAGTGGTTGACCGTCACATGGCGTGCTTATTCACTGGCAGAACGCAAATCTTCGGCAATGGCCACTGGCTGCCTACCTCAGCAGAGACAGGCACGGCGGCGGCACCGCTTCATCTTCCGCCCGTCGACCGCTGATTCCCACCTCCCCGGTTCTCGAAAGGTATCTGTCCAGCGGCCCCAGCACTGGCCGGGCGGGGACAGACGCCGACCCGGGGGCAGCGCTGGCGTTCTCCATGGCGGGGCGACGCAAGCGATCAGCCGGCTTCGGGAGCTGCAGGAGTGCCAGTGCTCTTGCTGGAATGAAAGCAAGCTCCCGTGGTGCAGGCAAGCGAGGCGGTATGGGGCTGTTGGCAAGAAGGGGGTCCGCCGAGCGGGGCCGCAGGCAAACGGAAAAAGGCGGGGGAGGGTTTCTGTATCGCAGCTGACTCGGATTCCGACATGCGATGCTGAAGGCTGACGCCGCGTTCATTTCCACCCTCTCGATGGCATAAAATTACTCCCCGTTCTTGTTTGCTGAATTTCGGTTCTTGTTTTCGGACACCCTAAACCCCAACTACTCATCCACGCACCGGGACTGGCCTTGTCAGCGGAATAAGAACCAAAATTCAGCAAACAAGAACGGGGAGTAATGTATCCTCCTCGATGGCCCTGATCAACGTCATCCGCAGCATTCAGCGACGAGTCACCATCATCAAGAAACCTCTGCGCATCGAGGCAAGCAGCCGTTTAGCGTCGAGTCACGGCTGCACGTGTGGGCCAGTGCCAGCAGGAAAGAATGGATTCCAATGAACCAATCACCGACTCTGCTTTGCTCAGGCAAAATAGGAAGCTGACGGCTACCTCATTGCCTTGTTCTGTAAAAAATCATGATGATGATGATGATGATGATGCCAGCAGGAAACGACACACCTTTTCCCTGGAATCGGTGCATCATCACTGTCGGTGTCTGTTGCAGCGCTGGGATTTGGTCTGCTTTTCTTCCCCAAGCTTACCAAGATGTGCGTTGAGGGCAGCCCAGGGGAGAGGCCGCCTGTTCGCCTGCCAGCTTGACGCTGTTGCGCTCGCTGTCTTCAAGCGCAGGATTGCAGCTGTTAAAACTGCCGTTAGTCATGAGCACCGGCACATCGTAAGCGGGCTCATGACTGACATAGGGCAGCTGACTGGGCCAATGTTAAACAACCAGTCAGGGTGAACAAGAAAAGAAAAAGGAAGCCAGCCAAGGAAAAACAGATATGCGTTTATAAAAAGAACAAGGGAGAGCTACTGTGCAAACGGCATATCAAGAAAATATCCGATGGTTGTTATGCCTTGACAGTTTATAGTGCCTAACTTGCTGCCTGGAAAATGGTTGTAGGAGAAAGACCAAGGGAACATTGCATGCCACAGTTCCTAAGTGGCTGCTCAGATCTGGATGCGCTGAAGATCATCGATAACGCTCGGCCGAAGCTTGAAGGTTCCTATGCGTAACTGCTGGAAGCTTTTCATGAAGGCGATGGATAGTTGCTTGAGAAAGGCAGCGTCACAAAACTGAATTGGGTGGACACAAGCTGTCTTAAGTTCTCAGGAGGACCGAGGGTTTGAGTTCGACAATCGTTTGATGATTGTGCACTGTAACTGCAATTTGCATAAGGGATTGGCCGAGAAGGGATAACCGGCTGTGTGCGTGAATGGAACGCCTTGAGGCGTTCAGCCCAGGGATGTCACCGGGACACATGGGCCATAGCCGGATGAAGGGGGTTACCCTCTGAGCATGTCGCTAACCGATCAAAAGAAAGTTGCGAGCCTTCTGCCAATGATAAGTTAACGCAACTGAAAGGGTTATACTCCAAAAGCTGTCTATAACCTCCGTTGGCCTTTTCACTAACAATAGTTTATTACGGTTGAAGAAAAGAAAAAAGGAATGGATAACAAGTAATGACATAACTAAGAGAAAGAGTAACTAAATGGTGATGGGGTACTAGGATCAGTGGCGGCCCCCACGAAAGAAGAATGGAATATTCGACGCTTCGGGAAATCGCTCTGTCATCAGCTGAAGAATGGGAATGAATGTATGACCACTATTCAACTGGTCTGTTGGGTGTAGACCAGTCTAATGAAAAGTACTGAGGGTAATCCCCTCCAATGGGTGTGTATGTACACACTGGCAATAGTTCTGAGATGGCCTGCGGCAACTACCGCCCCTTGAAATGATGAATATTGACGGAAAGTTGTCCCATCACCTGGAGACGCGTGGGCACAAAGACGCAGGCCTGGGAGGCCGCCGGTACCATCGTAGAATCAGTATTCTGAATGAAAAAGGACGAGGCATGATATGTCCTATGGGGGCAGTACATCAAGGAAAGAGTATAATGATAGGGCGGGAAAATGCTCTTGAAATAGTACTGCATTCAGACACAAAACTTGATGTGTTACGCGCACCAGCCTGATGTGGGAGACGTCCTACTAATGGCCCTTGGTGTGGGGGACGCCCTGCCCAAGGCACGTACTATTCCTCACCCACTGTAACCTTTATCCATATTAGGATACGGGAGTAGGAGGGGTGGTCCCGCCTAGGTGCCCTGTAAGGACCTAGGTGCCAG